ATCCTTCAACTTTGTATTATATATCCTTTTTATTGAAGTGGCACCACATGCTTTATCTGGTGTGTATAGACCAAGTATATTAGCATGATTTCATAAAAATACAGAAATAAATATACGTTTAACTTTTGAACATACTGTATTGTTTAAAGAAAAGAAGGCGTTCAGCGAAGAGACTCTTTTCGGCGAATTCATTCACTTAGCTGTACAATCGCATATTTATACAATTTTGTTTGTGTGTGTGTACATTAGATTTATAAAGTTTAGATAATTATGTAATATAAGTAATTTTTGGCTTGGAAACAAACGTTAAGATGGTTTTTAAAATAGAATTGATTAAGTGAGTAGAATTCAGATGAGGTCAGGTTGGAAACAGTGTTGATGAGTGGTGTTTAAAATCAAGTAAGGGTGGGGTTAGAGAATAGTACAGTTGAAAATAAGTAAGCTAATCGGATGACGTAACTCAGTTGACTAGAAATTGGACGTGGGTCAAGTTAGTAACATTGTTAATGAGGGTAGAGATTACAAAAGGGTGGGGTAGAGAATAATATAAGTGAAGATGTGAAGTAATAAAATGCAAGAGACAAAATAATACAATTAGTAAGACTGAAATTAAGAAAGATTACGTCCATTGTAGATTTAATGAATGAACGAATTTCTTTTGTATGCAAAGTTCAGGATTTAGCAGATGAATTGCCATTGCTTCTGCGATGTGGAGAAGTTTGATCCGTACACTTTTAGCAAGATTGCCTTGTATTCTGTAGATAACTTTGAAGTTTATTTCTGGTTTGACTTGGTGTCCAGAGTCGATCAAATGTTCAAGGATCGAGCTGCGGGGGCATCGGTTTTCTCCTTTATAAAACCATGAAGGTAAATGTTCGTTGACGCGTTTGGATAGCGAACGCTGAGTACGGCCGATATACCTGGCTCCACACGAGCAGGTGAATTGGTAGATGCACATAGATGAGGCCAACAGCGGTAGCTTATCCTTCACGGACATACGAATCATTGGTCTCGCGGAGAACGTCAGTCGTAATTCAGCTCCAACGAAGGTTTTCTTCAATGAGCGGGAGAGCCGATTTCTCAGTATTTCTGTAGATTGGTCTCCATTGAACTGTAGGTTCATATAGAGAAGTCTTTTTGGAGCACTGGGTGTGGACGGCTTCTCTGGTCTGGGTTTCATTGATTTTGTGATAAATCTTTCTGGATAGCCATTTTCAAGGAGGATTTTCTTAAGAGTGTTCATTTCATCTTCTATGGCGTCCAGGCTGCAAATTCTACGTATTCTGTGGCTTAGTGAACGGATTAAGTTTCGTTTAGTATATAGAGGTACCCAACTGTGGAAGTTAGTGAGCTGTCCGTTCCACGTTGGCTTTCTGTAGATGGATCTTTTTAATGTCCCGTCTTGTTGGCGTCTCGTCAGTTGAACGTCAAGAAAAGATATCTTTGAGTTAGACTCTTTCTCTAGCGTGAACTGAATCGCAGGGTGGCAGTTGTTGAAGAACTTCAGGATATCTTCTAAATTCTCTTCGTTGTTGCAGATGATGAAGGTGTCGTCGACGTATCTCTTGTAGAGTTCAAAGTTGTCAATCATATTCTTTGTTTAAGCCGAATACATTACGCAGATACCAGCAGTATCAAATGATAAAACTCCAACAAATATAACACTGTCCAAGAAAGTATAATGTCACCCATAATATATATATATATATATATATACGTCAGAAGAAAAACATTTTTGACGAAAAATTTCGCTTAAAAAGCATGTAGAAAAACATATAACTTGTCATTAAATTACCATAGCGACGGACTACAAAACTATAATTACCGGGGATATGCAATAAAGCCTACCACCCAACCTTACCAGTGCCTATTTCACACTCCATGTCATAGTTATATTTCCTCCTTTGTAGGATTTTATTTTACTCTTATATATGTATGTGTTATATATTATTAATGATAGTATATTTAGGTTTAAAAGATGTGTTGACGTCGATTTTATGCCCTATCTCCTCTGCAGTATGTTTCGCAATATAGGAGCTAGGTCGTCTGTTCTCACCGTTAATGGGTTCTGAAGATTCTATTTGTTTCTGGAGCCATTTAGGAATATACTCTGAAGCCAGCCCTTACCTTCAGAGATCGATGAGTCCTCCATCCTATGTATATGCGTCCACACGTACAAAAGAGCCTTAGTGAGCGAGGTGCCTCTTCAGTAGAATCCAACGAATATGCACTGAAGACACACTTGATGAAGGAGAAAGAAAGTTGACAAAAACTCTGGTTGATAACAATTATCCAGACAACTTCATCAGGAGGTATAAAGTAGTCAGAACACCAAGACCTACTCTCTCCAACTCGCCCCTAAGAAAGACGTGTACATCAAGCTACCCTATATGGGGTATCATAGCAGCTTGATAACTAGACAAAGACTGAACGCTGCTGCTGTTAAAAAGACTTTTTTATGCACTTCATATCATAACAGTTGAGAATGCGAAGCCAATATATCCATCCATCTAAACCCTTTGAACATGCGAAAAATGATGTCACGTCCAATTGTATTTACCAATTTGAATGTACGTGTGGACACACATGAAAAGGATGGAGGACTCATCGATCTCTGCAAGTAAGGACTGGCTTCAGAGCATATTCCTAAATGGCTCCAGAAACAAAGAGAATCTTCAGAACCCATTAATAGTGAGAACAGGAGGCTTTGCTCCTCTGGCTGGCTGGCTGGATTCAACCTAGCTCCTCTATTACGAAACATATAACAGAGGAGACAGGACATAAAAATATAGTATATATGTGAACAGCGGTATATATATATATATATGTATATATATATACATGTTGGTAGAAGTTAGAATTCATGAGCCATTGAATCAGGTCCCAGTAAATGAATGGTCTACAGGCGTGTCTTGTAACCGCAATGTTCTGGGTTCGAACCCTGGCGGCAACTGCATACTGTTAAAGAGTCCCAAACCAGTAGTACGAAACCACTGTCCAATAGCTTCTGGTGGTTTTCAATGGTTCTCTAACCGACATGCCTTATTTATTGAAAAAAAAACAATTGTTCGCTCTAACTATTTTGTTCTGAATAAATTATGGGAATATATATATATATATATATATATATATATATATATATATATATATGATTCCCTTTGTATAACGTATTTGTCTGGGTCAGGGGGACAATAATACTACAATTATTATTATTATTCATTTTCTTTGCTTTATTTCTAGCTTTATATTTTCTGTTCACCTATTTGTGCTTATAATCGAGACTGGTCTTTTTTTACTATTGCTTATAGGAGGGCATTATTAATAAATAATAATAATAATAAATATAATGAGGGTACATTGATTTGCTTACCTCTTCCTTCAATATGAAAGTAGAGGGAATCATGTGAATTTATTTCTTTTTGTATGCGTGCCTGCCTGCCTGTGCTTGTGTGCCTATTGTGCGTGCGTGTGTGTGTGTGTGCGTTCACCTTATGCAAATAAATTTTCTCACTCCAATAATATTCATTACTATTATTATTATTTTTGCTATAATTGTTATATACTACTTAATGTTATAAATAAATATGCATAGTAGTATATTACTTTTTCCCTTCCCTTATAATCTCTAAGTTTTTACAGTTGATTCGTATAAGTGTTCATTTTTATTATAACATTATGAGTAATTATTGTATGATAATAATAATAATTAATTGGTGGATGGTGACTAGCAGTGGAATCCAGGATGACGCGAATTTCGTCCTCTACTTAGGACTCGTCAGCTAGTGGATGTAACTGCATTCCGCAGTGTGGGATAATGTTCGCACCGAGGCTCGAACCCTGTGCCCATGGTATCAAACACCAAAGCGTTATTCACCAGACCATTAGGGCCACGAGAGCCACCTCTTCCTTGTGCAACGGGTCATATTAATTAGTTCACTGAATTTTAGATTTTCCCGTCGATTGATTGGACCGAAGTGCTCGGTCTCAGGTTGACATGTCGGCTTCTTGTACAGCTGCTTCGACGATGTCTCGGCATGTAATTAGAAGCGAATTGATGGATGGTGACTGGCAGTGGAATCCAGGATACAGTGCATTTTGTCTTATTTGGGACTCGTCAGCTAGTGGTTGTACCTGCAATCCACAGTGAGTCAGTGCTGATGTTCCCATCTACATCTTCAAACACAGATATTTTGAACAACCCATATAGCCCTCTCAAAAGTTTTCTTCCTCTTCAGTGTTTCTCTCTTAGCAACAAATTTTCCACACAACTTGGGAACCTCAAAATGATATATGAATTACCCTACGCCAGAAAATTGACTTCGTATTTGGAAGGGGAATTATGAGTGGCAATAGTTTGTGCTTGAAACGTGTGGTCATCAGTTAATATGACTGTATAACAAACAGTGTGTGATTTATCAAAGTAAAATCTTATCCATAATGGAGTAGTAAGGCAGGTAAAGAGGGAAGGATGGGCATGAGTCTAGCAACTCCACCCCGTAAAAGATAAAGACCACCACTGCTACCGAAACTTCAAGTCTTTAGCTTGAAGCAGCCCTATGTTCCACCAGGAACGTAAAGGAATCTTTTTAAAAAATGATGATGATGATTTGATGAATGTATAGACACACAATCGCATCACAACGAAACTGTCGACCTCTTGTCCCCTGAAAATTCACTAGTCCACCCTGTGATTCAACTTGCATAGATAAGAGAATTGATTGTTGTAGGTCGGATCGACTTCACAGACTTCTTTGATCTTCTACAACAGATCATTCAAGTAATTAATTCAATTCTTCATTCAGTGGTTTGAACCGAAATATATTTGATCATAAAGAATAATTGCATGATCAAGGTTAAGAGGACAGAGAGTAACTGTCACCCTATTATTATCATCCTATTGCTATAAATCTTCAATATGATAAAAACTACCCAAGCATCTAGTTATAAAAATTGTTTGTTCTTTTTTTCTCTCTATCTCTCAAAAAACAATCCGGTTTCAGATCCAAGGCATGCAGAAATTCAATCTATGATGCATGTCAATCTTCCATTCGATTGATTTGCCCAATACCTACTTGTGTGTGTGTGTGTGAGTGGATGTGTATAATAATAACAATAATTCCCGATAAATCGTCAATCTCTTCTATTTTCAGCATACACAAACAATGCTAACAACCCCTTTCTTTCAACACTTCAATACATTCGAAAATATATTTTATTGTAGAAGATTAAGCTAATTAACCTCCTACTCTACTCTCCTCTACTTTACTTTACTCCACCCTTTCGAAAAACCAAAAGAAGAAGAGGGGAATCACTTTATCTTTGTTTTAATTGTATTTTGTTGAATCAGACACACAGGGACTGTTGAATCAGGGGAGAATTATTATTATTCATCAATTTTGTACTGTGCTGTGCTGTCCTGTACTGTGTGTTGGTTGAATAATGAATGCCCAAGAATACAAACTTCCCTCTCCTGCCCCCGTCGCCGCCGCCAACTTACGATTTATACAAATACAAAAGTGAAATTTGTTTGACAAGTGACACAATTTTTCCCTCGAGTAGTTAACAGCAACAAACACAACAATAACAACAGTAACAACAACAGAACATATTCTAAAGAAGACAAAATCATACAAAAGAGAATCAATTCTCAGCAACCTTCTTTACATCAATTGCGCCTAGTTATATATATATATATATATATATATATATATACATTGAGATAATCAGTGAGCATTTCCTTTATTTACTATTTATTTGTAATTCAGTTTATTTACCTCGTATTACAATCAGACATGTGTGTGAGTATGCGTGTGTAATGTTCATATATGATGAACAAGTATTTAGATTTGAGTGTGACGATGATTGATGGGTGATTAGTTGTTTTGTTTTTTCTGTTAATTATAAATATACATATTTGAAGAAATGTTGACTCCTTCCAATTCACAGTTTTCCTTGTTTTGTTTTATTTTTGCTTTTCGATTTCTCCTCACACTCACCCACTGATCCACCCACATAAAAATTATTACTTACCATAAGCATGAGAGTGCGTCGGTGGCATAGCGGTTAGGACGCTCGCCGACCATACACATGGTCCGGGGTTCGATCCCCGGCCAACAGACGCACTCCTTTGCCTCGCTAAGCCAGAAATAATGCTGGTAAAGAGGAAAGGTAGGGCATGAGGCTATCAACCTCATCCTGTCCTGGCCATTGAGAGCAGAAGACATGAAAAGATTAGCTGTCTTCGATCATAGGTGTCTGCGTTCTATCTCCCGCGTGAAGTGGTATAATAAGGTGAGCAATATTGAGGTTAGGCATTGGTCGAGTGCTAGGTAAGGAAGGGAAATCAGTCGACGAGACTGTGAAATTACTTCGACTGAGATGGTTAGGACATGTGCTACGTATGCCTAGTCATCGCCTTCCTCGACTGACGGGCAATGTTAGCTGATATTGGGCCAGGCTGGAAAAGAGCTAGCGGCGGTCAAACGAAAACATGGCACCAGTCAATGAAATCTACAACAGTTAGTCTAAGCCACGTAGGAAGATGTAGACTTCCTGGTTAGGGCCCTCGGGATGGTAAAAACCAATGGTTGGAAACAATTGGTGACATGGCTGAAAATCGTTCTCAATGGCTAGCGCAGATGCATCCACTCCTTGTGACTTATGATTTCCAATGAAACTGTTTTGTTCTTCGTTATTACTATTCCTTTGTCTCACACCTCTGTTTACTGTCTATATTATGCATTTCTTCTACTTTCTTCTCTTGCTTTGCGTGCTACATGGATTGTGGCGAATTGAACTGCCGCACATATGTGCAAAGTTCTATGTCGAAAACCGACCGACCGACCGAACCTCATCCTGTAAAATAAACACTGCTACAGAAACTTCAAGCCACTAGCTTGAAGCCCAATGTTCCACTGGGAACGTGAAGGAAAAAAACAGATGGATTAGATAATTTAAAATTAGATAATGAAGAAAAAAATAGTTAGTTTTGATGACATTGTCAGTTTATATACAAATATACCAATAACAAATATGGTTATAGAGGCACTCAGAAGCGATGCTTAAAAAATTGAAATCATTCCTAAATAACCTACGTCTACGAGCTCCAGTTCCAACGGACAGAGTTAGAAGCAGAATAGAAAGCCTACAAAAATTATGCCTAAAAGAAGAGATCCACCGAATCGTTAAAAAGTTACAACATGTCATATGTGAAACTGAACAATTAAAACAAAGGCTAAAAGGAATAATTACCAATGTAGATTATGATCTTATAATACAGTCCTCTAGTAATGCAAAATCAGCAACTTTCAAAAAGTCAAAAAATAGAACAGTCAAATCAAAAAGTTCAACAAATTATTAGAAGAGAAATCTTCATCTCAGAACGATGAAATCAACAATCCAAAGTCAACGGCGATCGATAAAACAAATTGGGTTATCAATCTCTCAGCACATACATTGAGTTCTACAGAAATAAGTGTATTAAAAAAGAGACTAAATTTCAGTGTATCAGTAGACAAGCTGAAACCTGAGAATATCATCCCTAAAATAGAAATAGCACTAAGTGTGGGATAGACAAAACAACGACTGATGAAGTATGGGCACAATGTGCACTTGCATTAGAAAGGCAAAAATGTGGAAAGCTTAACCTGACAAAACCAGAGATAGAAGCCCTGAAATACCTTAAGAATAACAAGGATATAGTAATGACAAAGGAAATGCAACAGTAGTATTAGACAAATCAGACTATGTGGACAAGGTGAATACTCACATACAAACAGGACCATATGAGAAAATTAATAAATCAATAGACACCGTTATGAATAAAGTTAAGAAATCCACAGCGGACCTTATACGCCGAATGAAGCCGTTTCTAGGTGAGTCTAAGTGGTTTAATTTAATGCCCAAAACTAATAACCCCAGTAGGATGTATGGTGTTGTTAAAGTTCATAAGTCAGGATACCCTATTAGACCTATAGTTGATTTTAGAAATTCGCCTACTTATGAATTATCTAAATATTTAGCCATGGTATTAAATCCCCTTAAAAGCCACTCGAAATCTAGACTAACAAATTCTTATGAAATAAAACATATAGATTAGATAATTTAAAATTAGATAATGAAGAAAAAAATGGTTAGTTTTGACATTGTCAGTTTATACACACGTATACCAATAAATATAGCTATGGAGGCAGTCAGAAACGAACTCATTTCTGACCAAGAACTCGAACTTAGGACAAAAGTGCCACTTGAGGACATAATGCTGGGAGTACAGCTATGCCTGACTTCCACAGTATTTAAATTTCAAGGGAAAATATACAAACAAACTGAAGGAGTTGCCATGGGATCACCAATATCCCCAGTTGTAGCAGATATATTCATGGATAAGTGGGAAAACATAGCGATTGAAACGCTCACCCCCCCCCCCCAAAAAAGTATGGTGGAGGTACGTACTGCACTTAAAACACAAGATATAGATAGGTTTTTCGAACACATAAACTCGAAGGTTGAAGCAATTCAATTCACTTATGAATTGGAAAATCAGAAAGGGGAGCTCCCAATGTTAGATTACAACGTAAAGAGGAAAGAAGATGGGAAGTTAAACACTAGTGTTTACAGGAAACCCACACACTCAAACAGATATTTAGACTTCCGATCGTCTCATCCTGTCAGTAAAAATAGGATTGGTGAAATGTTTAAATGACAGAGCACAAAAACTAAGTGGTACCGAAGAAAATCTAAAACAGGAACTGATACACATAAAAGAAGCTTTGAAACTTAATAATTACCCGGATAAATTAATCAAGAAATATGTAAGGAAATGTAAAAATAAAATAAATAATGATAGTGGTGATAGTGATAATAATAATAATGTTATTAATAATAGTAATAATATTAATGACGACACCAATAATAAGAAATCTAAATCACCAGTAGTAATTCCATACAAGAAAGGAACCTCGGAAACCTTACACAGAATTCTTAACAAGGCAGGAATAAAAGTGGCTGGTATTCAAACCCACAAACTCAATTAGAAACAAGCTTTGTCGGTTAAAGGATCCTGCTAGTGGAGCCTTTAAAACAAAACAATTTAGTTTATCTAATACCCTGCTGGAATGACTGTCAGGTCAAATATATAGGTCAAACTAGTAGAACAGGGACAGTCAGTCAGACTAGTGGAGCATAAAAACCTAGCAAAATCTAGATTAGTTGACTCGAATAAGATAAGAAATCTAGAGAATAGTTCAGCTATCGCACTACACCACATGCAGTTACACACAACCATACAATAGGATGGGATGGGATGACAGTTTCAAAATCGAATACAACTAACATGGTGGAGGGAGAATTGATAACAGAAGCTCTGTTTATCGAATCAACTGCAAATACATGTAATAGGAATGATTCATCACCTGTCCCCGATATCTGGAAAATTCTACTCCCCCTACGACAAATTGGAGAAAACAAAGAAAGCTATAAAACTCAAGTGTCAAAGTCGTGTGATCACAATTGATATGATTATGAACAATAAATTTTGTTCGAAACGTCATCCAGTAAATAATACTGTTTCATTGTGTGATACACCTAATAAACAAACTAACATGAGAAATCTCTTTTGTGATGACCAACCTACACATATGTATATATCATTAAATCAGAAAAATAATTGTGACCATTGTGTCTAAAAGTTCCAACGTGATGATACAGAAGAAAAAGGCATCTTTCCCTTGGTGATGATCACTACTAACCTTATGTCTAATTAGAAATCATCTTGTGAAAAGTTTCCTGACAAGATCTGAGCATGGCATCAATCACAGTCTGCCTACAATAATCTGGTTTTTCTCTGTAGGTGAATATCTAAGTAGACACTGTTGCAATCATAATTCAAGCTAAAATTAATTATAAAAAATCCCTGTAATCTCTACGTGACTGACTGGATATAATACTCAGCAATTCATGTCTACGTATAGATATTTATCCCCTGCCCCCGAAAATTAGCTGAGTTTGCGTTTCTCAAAAACCGGCGCTTAAGATCAATAAATATTAACATACGTTGTCATACTGATCTAGTAAATATGACTCGCACTGGTCTTCTTCCACCTAGATAAATAACAATTATACACAACCTGTGCGTCGGTGGCACAGCGATTAGGACATTCGCCGACCATGCACATGGTCCTGGGTTCGATCCCCTGCCAACAGACGCACTCCTTCACCTTGCTAAGGCAGTAATAAAGCTGGTAAAGTGAAAAGGCTGGGCATGAGGCTAGCAACCCCATCCTGTGAAAATAAACGCCACTGCTACCGAAACTTCAAGCCTCCTATGTTCCACTGGGAACGTGAAGGAATAAAAACAAAATACACAACCTAATGTAACCAGTTACTTGGGCATAGCAATTATACCTGGAATAGTGTTTTGTTGAATTCCGCAGCTACTTACTACTCATACTCTCATTACACTGGAACGTTACACCTACAAATTCCTGTTACCGTTGGGTGAAATGAATAGCCTTCTTACTATCTTCACGTTTGCAGCAGAATCAAGTTGCTCCGTAGGTTAGAAAAAGTAACGATTGGTTACCATATGTCCCCATTAGATATCTACTAAACATGCAGCTGAAACCAATGATTGTTAGTTTAGTATCCAACATAAAGCTTAGCCACATACAGACAACCCACCGTCTGTGGTTGTAATTTCATAGCCCAAAGTGGACGGCAAAGATGACTGCTTTTGTAATCAACATCGGTGGTGTCACACTGGAACTACTTCCAAATGATTACACATTCCAAAAAAACACTAAGTGACAAGATAAAGGTGAAGCGAACCAACCAAATGACTTTGAAAAGCTTTGTAGATATATTCCAAACATTATGTCATCTAATTTTGTTCATATATTAGATGGGACGCACACCAAAGGTATTGCCACTCTGTACTATCATTTTACCGCTCTTAATTCCATTTTTTTTACCTACCTGGGAAGCATCGTTTCAACTACAGGCGATCGGAACTGACGAGGATATCAAAGCAAGAATCGGAAAAGCAAGACAAGTTTTCACTACACTCAAGTCTGTGTGGAGGTCAACAGCACTCTGCGTCAAAAATAACATCCGGATTTTCAACTCCAATGTGAAGTCAGTCAGCGTTATTATACGGATGAGAGACTTGCAATGCGCGTCATAAAGAGCATCTCAAACAAACTACAGACCTTCATCAACAGTTGTCTTCGCTCAATACTCAAGATCAGATGGCCAGCCAGAAAAGATCAGTAACAGAGATCTCTGGCAGCGAACCAACCAGGAACCGATTGTGAAACAAATAGGCAGGAAGAAATGGAGATGGATTGGCCATACTCTGAGGAAACCATCAAGTGACATCACTAGACAAGCCATCGCTCGAGTGGAAGCCGAAAGGGAACCGGCGAGTTGGTCGTCAATGCAAGGGTGACTTGGAGGAGGTCATGTGAAGAGGAGATGAAAAGGTGTGGGCAGACATGGAGCCAGGTGAAGACTCCAGCAGAGAACCGAACGCAATGGAGACGCAGGGCTGAAGCCCTATGTTCCTCTAGGAATTAAATGAAACAATAATAATAATTCCATTTCTACAAAACTTTCTATCCAAATGACACCTTAATCTAGTCTACTATATTTATACAACACTCCAAAGATAAATGAATAAACGTACCGCTAACTGGTAAACTTACGCCTCAATAAACACTAAACTCGAAATCATTTCCTTAAGAAGTGCGCCAAAATAATGGGATAATATCACCCTCAAATTCTACATCTCATCGGCTGTACCATGCGCCGACTTGGAAAACGCGCTCGCGAACACTACCCAGCCTGGCTAGTAAAAGGAGACCAAAAGCGTGTATACAGTTCAGTAACAGAACATCTGGTCAACTCAGGACATTCAGCGCCTTTCGAAAAATCCTTCAAAGTAATATACAAGATTCAATCAAACCTATCAAAGGGAGTGAAATCAAGACATTTGGGCATAGCTGAGGCGTTAGCTATCCAAAAACTCAAACCCACTCTTTGTATCCAAAAGAAATACGTCCACCCCCTGTCCCTGCCATGGCCATCGTAAACAGGTAAATTTTTTAATAATGACCATTCCATCGCCTTTCTTATCTAAACTTCCTGTTTATTCATGTTATTTTAAGTTTTCTTATTCCCTGTCTACACTACCATATTTTCATATCCACACTTCCTGTTTATTTTGTCATTTTACTATTTCTACATATTTAATCCCTAAAATGCATAAACAATTATTCATCATATTAGTTTTTGTATCCAAACATCCTGTCTATTTAGTTATTTCTACATTTCTAACCCCCAATTGCACAATGTCAATCTCCTTAGTTCGAGTTTTATCCGTCCCCCTGTTTATTATGGCATACTAATTCCTAATTGTAATTTTTATTAATTTGACCCTTAACCGGAAATTTCTCTGGAACTTTCCCATCCATTTGATATAAATACACGAATGTACAGCCTAGTTGACGGTGACTTCGTCGAAAAGAAAATTTTCTTCGCTGCAACTGTCTTTTTATTCATATCTAAATAATATTACCAAACTGGAGAATGCCAAGCACACATTAGATTTGTTGACAAAAAGAAATGAAGAGAGTTTACGTGATGTTCAGTATGGAATTTCGCCTCACACACAACTAATCTTGATCCTGGCCCAGTACATAAAAAATTAATCCCGGATAAGTGCGATCCATTTTAGCCGACTTTTGTTCAAACACTCGAGGACCATAAATACGCACAGAAATTGAAATGTTGTTTTCCCAGTAGACCTTATCAGAAGCGGACGACAAAAAGCAATGGTAAGGTAGGGTTGGTAAACCACCTGAGGAGAAGTATACTTGACTACAACCGAAGGTGTGAACGGAATATTGATAACCAGTTAGACCATGAACATGTTAATTAATCTTTAAACGTACAGTAATAGCTTTAATGATCCGTTATAGTAGAGAGCACTTGTTACAGCTGAGGCTGTACGAAATGTTGGATGGTATCATCGGCTCACGCTGACTATTACCAATCGTATCTAAATGTGACAACCTGTTGTGTCAGATTCAGATATGATCCCGTGTAACTGCACTATTGAATCAACCCGTAGAGAAGCTGGAAGACGGGTTAAGTGCATAAGCAAGGAAAAATACTATCAAGTATGAGGGGGAAATATATACCAAACTGCATTTCCCGAGGTATAACCCACAACTGACTAATTAAAAAACCATTGGCGTTATTTGCGCATTCTTCGACTGCCAACCTACCAGTGTGAACCCTATGTAATTATTATTATTGTTTCCTTTAATTCCTAGAGGAACATAGGGCTTCAGCCCTGCGTCTCCATTGCGTTTTGTTCTCTGCTAACGTTTTCATCTCTTCTTCACATGACCTCCTCCAAGTCACCCTTGCATTGACGACCAACTCGCCGGTTCCCTTTCGGCTTCCACTCGAGCGATGGCTTGTCTAGTGATGTCACTTGATGGTTTCCTCAGAGTATGGCCAATCCATCTCCATTTCTTCCTGCCTATTTGTTTCACAATCGAACCATATGCAATGGGAACCCAATTTTACTGATTAATATCGCAAAACTAATTAGGTCAAAAGAAGTGCTCCATCTTCAAAATTGATGGGCATCCAGCTAAATAACTACTATTTTGCTGAGAACGAATATCAGAAGCAGACTAACTATGTTGGCAAGCCCAGCTTCGTAGAGTTACTTCTCCAATGATAATAATAAGTCGACAACAACTAATTGAAGGTGACGTTAAAATGATCATCACCATGACTACCTCAATCGGTTACATAACAGCCTACTAATTTCAACAAATCCTAGATCTACACCACTTGCATTTAATGGAATATTAATTTGCTGACTTTTAGACTACTACTACTACTATGCATGAAAACGTTCGGATAAGGAAAAGTACCAATGACCGAGGCAGTAGAAACATCACGATTAGATGAGGGCATGCTCCAAGTACTCTATGCAACATATGTCAGATCTCATCTAGAGTACTGCATACAAGCGGCAGGTCCATGCTTCAAAAAGGAGGCACATACCCTGGAAAGAGTACAGAGGGTAGGAACGAAATTAGTTAGTGGTATCTCACACCTTCCTTATGTCATGAGGATGGAGCATTTAAATCTCTTCCCATTATCATACCGAAGGAAGAGAGGCGACTTAATTTTGGCTTACCGTATATTCAAAGGTGGTTTAGGGATTGACCTTTCAAACCTTTTCTCTCCCTCTAGGATACATTTACGGGGTCACCAGAAGGTGCTCAAACCGAAGTGGAATAAAATACGTTTGGTGTTTAGATTCTCTCACAGAGTGACCAACGACTGGAACTCCTTACCTGATTCAGTAGTAACAGCTCCATCGGTGAACGCTTTCAACGAGAAACTGGATCTCTGCAGATATATATATCGCGAGGATTAACATAGGCAACAAGAGCCTTCTATCCTCATAATCTGAATCTGATATTTACGCTAGCAACTGAGAAACCAGTCAGGTTTACTGGCTCAAAAATGCAAAATCCTGGTAAAGTACTTTCAAGTAGCACTCCATAGAAACTAAGCAATGGTCAGTCAGGAGAACACCACTTTACAAAGTTAATCATCCCACTACATAATACTTTTTGCATTTAAGCGTGAGGAAATATAGCTAGTTCACAATTTACACCATGAAAATTTAAAAGCTGTAACAGACTAACCTCGTGAGTGAATTCATTAACACAATGTGAAAATTCCCGTGAAGTGTCTGAACAAATCCAGTGAAAGCGGACTGTATAGCTCAGCAAATTCAGAAACTTTTTCTGCAAATTCCATGACAACACCTGTAGCTGCTAACTCTACTGCAAACAAAGTATATGATTCCTTGGGAAAGTTTCCATGTTCGAATGCGATGTCAGAAGTGAGAAACGTGTCACCAACTGTACACTCACATTATCATAAATATTTCTGAACACAAGACCAGAAATAGCTTACCACAACCGCGTACAGTTACAGCACAAACCTAGAAAACTTACTCTGCGTAGCTGTGAAAGTATCCTATATATTAGGTCCATACAATCGATCACGTCAACTGGTGAAAATAGACGAGGTTTTATTGGACCTTGTGGGCGTCAAACAAATATGCGAATGCACAAGTACTTTGTATTTACATAAATTGAACATCCCTAAACCACCCATACCACTACGTTTAATCCCAGAAAAAACAAAGACACCACGTTATAACAACAGATCAAATGTAAAAATATATTGATGAATTTACAACTTTAAAGTCAACACTGGCACATTGTATAGAATTAAAATCTGCCGGTAGTTCTCCCAGTGCCTCTTGAAGGAGTTACACGACCACGAACGAAAGTTGAACGACCGCGAACTAAGAGAAGTCACAGTGAAATGAAATAACTTACCACCTGCTCTTAACATCGCGTTTTTACCTCTGCCCGTACCCAACCCCTTTGCACCTTGTGGGCGTTTCAGCATAGGAGAATTTTTCAACATATCTGGAAGGATGAGGAAACTAAGACAATCAAAAACGACTGTGGGCTCCTACCGAATTTTACTGCCACGAATATAAACCTGTTGCATATTTGAAGTGTGTCCGTCACGAGCCGTCATGATTAGGTCACACATATGGACATTCATATTGTCTTCAGCCTCAACAAGTTTTCCACGGAAAACCACACCACTGACAGTTTCTAGGGTGACAACATGTCCCTCGGCGTCGTGCAAAACTTTGATTGGAATACCGACCGACATCGAAAACCTAGAGTTTCAAACTTAGCGCTTATCAAGGGTAGAAATTATATTCAACGTCCAATATCACTTTATGATCTAGTGTAAACCAAATTGATTTGTTTCTTGGTTTTGGGGTTAAGATTCCTGGTCTTTGGTAAGGATCTGAGTATTCCATCTTAACACTCCCAGTCGTAGCTTTGGTTTGCTCCAAAAGTAGCGGTGGTACCAATAATATATATAATTTGTGAAGATTACGTGGACTTAAACAAGAGAAAGGAAAACACTTGCAAACAGATAGCTGATCAAATCTGAAATTAATACATGTAACTGTGATATAAAGGGGTGAATGGAAAGTTAGAAGAGTAAGACAAAGAGGAACTGTAAGTAGTAAAAGGACCAGTTTAGGTGTATACTATTAATGGTGTGTGAGTTTTAATAGGATGAGCCAAAAGTACGCCGTCGTACAAATGGCCCATTGTGGATTGCTACGAGAAATTTCACATTTAATTAATGGCGTGATACCTTCATTTAGGTGAAACCGGTCATTTGTTATCTTATAGGCAGCAATTAATTAAGTCAGCCATAGAGCAACGGTAACTAAGTGTGTCAACACCTGATTTCTTCAGGTGTTCATTATACGGTTTATTTCGGAGACTCATCACCCCGTTTTTTGCCCAGGTTGGCATCTAATCTCAGCAACACGGTAACAATGTTTATGTGTGGTCTTACATACGTTTCGCATAAGCTTAGAAAGAGATCAGGAAAGAGGGCACCTGTCTACGTGTAAATTGTATGACTATATGCTCCATATACATCATCCGCGTAATTACCACTTGTGTTCGTACTTGACTTAAGTAGCTCTGCGACGTTATGGGAGACGAATTATCGTTATACAGAGAGTAAGCCCCCCTTCTGTAGCCTACAGGTACAGAGCTGCATTATTCTTCCAGGTTGAAAGTCACACTATTTGCCTGTATCCAGACTTACAGAGATTAGGGTCTGACTGTAGCTTGTCAGCTTTAAACTCTGGGCATTTTTAGTGTTTCTCTATGCTTTTCCATGTCTCACACATCTAACTTTCACTACGAAATATGTTTGGTTGCATTATTCATTTGTAACCGAGCATTATATTAGTTGTCAATGCTTCTGGTCCTCCTGTGGTGACAGCTGTCTGCTAGCCGAAATTGGTAGACACCAATTTACATCAATGTTTGGGTCCCAAATCTTGGTCATGAGAAAAAAACAACAGCAAGGACTAACTCAACAACCAATCACAGCATACTTAGCGTTAGCGGATACGATTCGCAGATATATCACCGGACTGTCTAAGAAACGGCAACAAAGAGATGAAAGAATAACCTTTTTAGAGGCTGACGGCATTGACGTTCACGGACAGTACGAAGAATACTAACGCAAGATCTAATACCCACAACTTCTATAGTATTCGTTCCGCGTAGACCAAAGGCAAAGCAAAACAATAATTGATCGTCCAAATTACGAGATATATTTCGGGACCAAATCGGAGTGTGAGATGACTGATTAGCTAGCTAGGGATCGTGCATGAACGAACGAACGTGACACGATAGAGTACGAAGTGGCGTGGATGCTCGACCGGAAGCCTTCAGCTAAACAAACTGACTTAAACAGTGAGGGGTAACATCCAATGTTCAGTGATGAGTGCTGTGGTAAATAGTTTTGGGGAATTACTTATCGCTACACCTTCAACAAAAAGACCGACCGGAAGTCGTTGTTTCTCAGCCAAAATAATGAATATTAATGTGCATAAAAATCTATAAATATCTGTTGATTTTCTCAATAAAGGATCTATTGCCTGGCCGTTGTCTTCTGTCATTACTCTACTGCTCTAATCATTAAATCTTGTGTTTTTTGTGAATAAATTCAGTCAACTCCTAATCATAATCATGTACTTATTGTCATGAGCAACCTACTTTATAAATATGTGCATTTACAAAGATGATATTGCTAAGAAGGTCCTCAAGTATCAATGTATCGGGCGACCTGTGGGAAAACATTTACCATGAAGCTACTGACGTGCAGTATGCAGAATGACTGGGACAGGCAGATCGCAATCTAGTGCGAATTACACAGTTATCGCAATAAAGATCTCATTGCTCAGGCTCAGAAAATAAGGGAGGAGAATGGACAGTGATAAGCAGATATAGTCATCACAGATATGGGTGGGTCATATCTGACGGCCTGAGATTCGGACGTGAGTCTAGGTCCTAATCTCAATAGACAACCGTGGTTGTTTAGATCCAAACAGCAGGCAGTGCTTCCACCTCCAACATCTACCATTTTGACCAGCATTTTGCCAAAATGAGGTTCCGTGGGCCCTACACAGACTCATGGGACAGCTTTTAAGCTACCGTGTTCTACATTTTTGGATCTTTAAGTCTCACGTTCGACTACACGATGACTTATAAACTTAATAAAAACTTTGAATTGAGCAACAATATATTCGTATATATATTATCATTAGACTACCACTTACTCCATTCATTCGCGTTCCATCCTCAGTTAAAATCCGGTCGCACAAAAATAGTTTGCCTGAGTGAAATTATATTTTTATTGAAACTATTGTGATTTTTGATAGTAAGACCATTATGGCTAACATTAGATATCTCCAATGTATAATACAATTCTGGGTGTTGCATACCCCCTGTTCCTCTTATTCATCAATGACATAGTTTCTGTGATCAAGTATGGCAAGCCATACCTCTTTGCAGATGATCTCAAAATAGTATATAATTATCGGTACGATGACATGAGCATCGAAAGCAAGATCCAACATGACTTAAACAATCCAGGCGATTGGAGCGAAAAGTGGCAACTGACTTTCAACCCAGATAAGTGCGGTATAGCCCACTTTGGACACTGGAAACTGAGAATGGGCTTATATACGTACGGCAAGCTCCTCTCAAAACTGGACACAGTCACAGATCTCGGGATAACATACTCAGGTTTAACCTTTTCCAATCATGCAAAGGAGGCTGTATCTGACTGGAAACGACTTACTGGCTTTGTACTGCGTAACTTTTACGCCCGAGAAGCAAGAATAACAATATATATGACATGTATCCGCCAAAAACTTGAATATTATGCTCTCCTATTTAGTAACCTAAGGTCTACAGACCGATAAAAAATCGAAAGTGTCCAGAGATTCTTCACGAAATGCATAATAGGGTTTGACCAACAAGTGGAATATGTTGACAGGTGTATACGTCTGAAATTAGAACCTCTGTGGTTAAGGAGAGTGAAGTGCAAATTATTTCTACTCTTCAAAGTCATTAGGAAACATTGTTATAGTAACTCATCTATAACACGGGAAAATATCAAATCATATCAGCTGCGAAACCACGACTACCTTGTCAAGGTGGCTGCCCACAGAAAATCCATTAGGGCGAACTTTTTCACCATTAAATATTGCACTCTTTGGAACCAACTACCATCTGAAATTAGATGTTGTAAAAACCCCGATGGGTCCAAACGGAGTCTAGAAAGACAGATTAACATATCCAACATAGCTCATCTAAAAGACCACAACTGTTGGTGGAATGGTAAATGAAAGCCATTCCAGTGTTCAGTGTAGTCACTTACGTATAGCCCAACTCTACTACTTACTCAGCGAACGTTTAACTAATTTACTGATTTTCTATTCTCTATAATCTTCAATAAGTTGTGTTGGTATAAGTAACTCTAGTTACAAATATATTGTCTAACAAACGTTTAACATTTGACATATACACAAAATTAATAATACACTGTTATTTTTCATGTCGAAATGACTTAATCCAGCCAATAACTACCTTCTCTCATAAACTTTTCTAAAACGTATAATTTTATAACACTTCGCAGTATTTTGTTAACATTACATAAGTTGAAGGGTTGCTTTGCAATGCCTGACACATACCGTATGAAAATCAGCCATGAAAATTTAGCATAACTAGCTCTGTTAACCAGCTGTTTTCTTCAGGATCATTATACATAATTTTATCACTAATTGTTACACTATACATTTTACTCTGCTAAATAGACTATAACTTAGTTGCTGTAATACTAAATACCTCTGTACTTTATACTCCTTAAAGTAAACTCAATTTCCTAGCCGTTTGTAACAAATACTTACATACATGCGTGCATGTATAAAGGTGACACCGCTAAGAATGTCTTCAGGTACCGAAGGACCAACTGGTGAAAGGATCAACTCCATTCACAGTAGTAACAGTCTTAACGTACCTCATACTACAAACCACATATAATTAATCCCTGCACTACTCCTTTTGGAGTCAACCAAAGCTACGGCAGTCGAGTGGCGGGACGAGCTACGCAGACGTTTACCGAAGATCAGGAACCTGTACCTCACAATAAAGAGGCGAGCACAAAGAAATCAAATTGGTTTATACTAGCTCGTAAAAACGATATTGGATATTGGATTGTTGTCAATTTGAAACCAGTTTGTAAATCTTCTGCACTCCGCCTCTGCAAAATGAACAAGATTCGGATTTTCAACTTCAATGTGAATTCGGTCCTTCTATAAGGGTCAGAAATTCGCACTGTGTGTAACGAAAAGGATTTCCAACAGGCCGCAGGCTTTCATCAACAGCTACCCTCGTTGGATCCATACTGAAGAGCAAAGAATAAGCAACGAGCAACTCTGGGAACAAACCAACAGGCGAGAGTCAGTCGCTCAACAAATATGTAGGAGAAAGTGGAGATTGATGTGGCATATATTGTGGAGGCCACCGAGTAAAATCGCATACCAGGCCCTCGAGTGGAATCCCTTGGGAAGCGACGAGTGGGTCGTCATTGCTAGGGTGACATGGAGGATATCGTGTAAGGAAGAGATGGTAGAATTTGATCAATCGTGGACCCAGCTGAAGAGGACGGCAGAAAACAGAACACAGTGGAGATGTGTTGTTGAAGCCCTATATTCCACTTCGAACTCAAAGGAATAATATAAACTGCCACGCGAAAATGGCGTCATGGAAAATGTTTTAAGAGACTGGACTTGACAGAATGCTTGCTGATCCAAGTTTT